TTTTTTTTTTTTTTTTTTTGCCATAGTGTGTGTGTGTACTCCCTAAAGAGAGACAGAGAGAGAGGGAAAGTGAGAAATCACCTCACTGGGGGGTGGCCACGCTGCACTCCCTTTTCAGACCTGGTAAGCCACCAGGTCTGGAACTCAACTCCATCCTCTTGGGATTTAGGGCCTGCACACACATACTTCCAGCCAAATATTTTAGGGCACTGGATCCAGGACTTGAAACAGTGGATTTGGTCATGTGGGATTCAGAGCCTTAACCATCATGCAATCTGCTGGTTCACATGATTTAGTTTTTTTTTTTTTAAGAAAACCGATAAACTGCTTTTGAAAATAGTTATGCCATTTTATATTCCTACCAATTGTGTTTGAATGATCCATTTTCTTCATATCCTCAACATCATTTGGTGTTTGAACTATTTTTAGCTGGTCTGATAGGTATGTAGTAATATCTAATTGTGTGGCTTTAATTTTACTAGTTGTTGAACATTTTTCCATATGCTTATCTGGCATCCTTATATCCTTTTCATGACTTGCCTATTTTCTTTTTCGTGGGAGTCCAACGACATAGCCATTATGCTAACTGCTGGTTCCCAACTTGCCTATTTTCTAATTGAATTGTTTGTACTTTTTACTATAGAGTTAAAAAATATATTCTAGACACTAGTTCTTTATCAAATATGTGATTTGCAGATATTTTCTGCAACTCTGTTGGTTTTCTTTTTTTGTCGTTGGTGGTTGTCTTTTTATTTTCTTCACATGGGCTTTTACAAAGCAAAGTGTTAAATGAAACTTTTGATAAAGACTAATTTATTTAGCTTTCCTTTTCTGAGTTAAGCTTTTGGTGTTAAATATAAGAAGTCTGTCTACTGTAGATCCTAAAAATTTTCTCTAATTTTTTTTCCTAAAAATTTTTTAGTTTTACATTTTATATATGGTTGTGACCCATTCTTACAAAATCTGTCTTGCTTCCAATAAATTCATTTTGTATCTTTTTGTGTGATCTATTTCTGGGTTCTTTGTTCTATTTCACTTATCCGTGTACCTGCCCCTTCACCAAAACCTGTAGCTGTGCAGTAAGTCTTGAAATCAGGGGAAGTAATTCCTCCTACTTTAGTCATCTTGATTCCAAAATTGTTTAAAATATTCCAGTTCCTTTGTCTTTCAGTGTGAGTTTTAGAATAATCTTGTTTATGTCTATAAAAAATCATGCTGCGATTTTGATGGAAATTCCCATAAACTTGTGTATCAGTTTGGGAAGAATTGACATCTTTTTTTCTTTTACAACACAAATCTATTTTTATTCATTTACGTTTCATTATTTTAAATCCTTGAGGGGTACAGCATCACACGGATTCTGTGTCCAATGGCCTTAGCAGGAAGGTTGCTTTGGAATTTGGCCTGAACCATGCTACTGTTTCCATGGGCATGCCTTTCCCCAGATTACTCTGGCTTTATTTGGTTTGCCACCAGGAGTCACTGTGTTGTTTTTTGCTTTGTACACATAAGCACACCTCTTACCTAAATGGAATTCTGTTTCATCTTGTGCATATACACCTTCAATTTTAAGAAGAACTGTGTGCTCCCTTTGGTTCCTGAAACCCCGCTTATAGCAGCAAAGATGACCTTGGACCACAGCCTTCCAGACATAGTTGCCTTTTAGAAGTCCTGTTCCCAGCAGGCATCCACAGGCTCCAAGAAGGCAGGAAGAGCAAGAATTGACATCTTTATTATGTTGAATCTTCCTATCTGTGAAGATAATGTATTTCTCCATTTATTTCCGTCTTTCATTTTTTCATCGGCATTGTATAGTTTTCAGCATATAAATGTATGTGTTTTGTTAAATTTCTGCCTAAGTACTTTGTTATTTTTTAATTTAAAAAATTATTCCTTAGTTTTTTGTGTTTTAAGTTTTATTTTATGATTTATTTACATTTAATCATTGTACATATTTTATACTTTCTTTTTTTTTCTTTTTCTGGAGAGGTTTTTGTTATAGGGCGCATGCGCTCGCCAGAAAGACAGAAAGACAGAAAGACAGAAAGCGAGAAATCACTTTCCGGGGAGATGGCCATGCCGCAATCCCTTCTCCATTCTTCTTTTAGGATCCTGGTCACGCACGCACACACACCCTGCATTAGTTTAAGCCGCCAGGTCCGGGACTCGAACTGTAGTTGAGTACATGGTAGTCCAGCAACATAGCCATTACACTAACTGCTGGTCCTCATATTTTATGCTTTCTTACATTTAATCATTGTACTTTTTATTTTTTTTGGAGAGATTTTTGCTATAGGGCACGTGTGCTCACCAG